GGAGCGATGCTGCGGGTGGGGAGCCACAGGGGCGGCTGCTGCGTTCCCATTGCCAGCGCTGCGGGGCAGGAGGAGGAGGAGAAGCAGCAGTTTTGCTTCAGCATCCTGGGGTGAACCTGCCAAAGGACAAACCCGAGCCACAAATCAAACCCGGTGCTGAGGGCCCTGAGTTTGGGGCTGTTGGGAAGCCGGGACGAGCTCACGAATCAACTTTGGGTGCGTTTTGCCGTTGGATAAACGCTGACGTGGTGGAATGGAAACGCGCCGCTGGGATATGCTCCCTACTGATAAACGTGACGACCCAACACTGTGTCTCCCGCTGAGCCCTCGCTGACTCTCAGAGGATTGTCCTACGTTTTGGGCATGTTTGCTGCTTGTTCTTAAAAATTGTGGAATAATCCCTTGGATGAGGGTGCTGGGGACACCCCACTGCTGGGGCGGGTGTCGTGGTCCACCAACCTGGAGTAAATAGCCACAGAGTAAATAACCTACGGATGCGAAAGGGGAGTCACGTTTCTTTACGGTGCATTTAATTTTCTGGCAGCTGAGTTGCCCCGTAACCCCCCCTTCCCTATGCTGGAGAAAAGCTGCTTATGCAATTTTTGCTGTCTTTGTTTGCACGCTTGCCAGGAGGAACTACTATTCTTATTCCTATTACCCGTAAGTAATTGCCATTCTCTCTCTCCTTCGTCCTTCCTCCCGGCCGCTCCCCTCGCTCCGCTGCTCCAACAAGTCCTTTTCTCTGCCAAGTATGTTTTAAGGCTTCTTTGACTCAGAGAAAATAACGTTTCCAAGTTTGTTGGAGACTGAAGGCGGCATAAAAGGAAAGGGTCGGTGACTTTGGATTGAATTCTGGGTTATGGCAGAGTCTTGCAGTGTCCCAGCCCGACCAAGATGCCGACATGGGCTCAGGTCTCCTGTTCACCCTTCTTCTGGTTTAATTCCTGCTCTGGTTTCTTGGGAGCCTGGTGCTGCCTCTTGAAAAACACTCAAATCAGTTTGTTTCTTTTTTCCTAAATGTCTCTAGTTTGGGACGTGAGGTTCTGTTCCAGCGAGAGCTCTTGGGCTTTCCCAGCATCTTTGTTAGGTGCCTAACGGGGACCTTGGATGAGGAGGAAAAAACCTCCCTGGTGGCTGCTGAGCACTTGTGCAATCAGCGAGTCCAGCCCGTCCTTTGGGATGGATTTGGCCCCCTGGAATGGTTTTAGAGTCATAGAATGGTTTGCATTGGAAGGGACCATTAAAGGTCATCTAGTCCGACCCCCCTGCAGTGAGCAGGGACATCTTTAACTAGATCAGATTGCTCAGAGCCCAGTCCGACCTGACCCTGAATGTTTCCAGGGATGGAGCATCGACCACTTCTCTGGGAAACCTGGGGAAAAGGGCTGGGGGGAGAGCTGGGGCTGCCCTGTCTAACACTAGCGGGCTGTGAGAGCCTTCACTTGCTGTTGCAATCCTGCTCCTCGGATTAACCTGAGCCTGGCAGCTTGGAGGAGGCTCTTACAGCACCACTGGGTCAGCCCTGCTTTTGTGTGCTTCTTCCCCCTCCTCCCCTTCGCATCCCCCTGCAGAAAACCCGTCAACATGACCAAAGCCACCATAAACTACCGCCACGAGAAGACGCACATGATGAGCGCCATCGACAGGAGCTTCACCGACCAGAGCACGCTGCAGGAGGACGAGCGCCTGGGGCTCTCCTTCATGGACACCCACAACTATGGCAACCGGGGTAAGGATGGGGAACCGTGGCATCCCTTGGCTCCCATCCAGCTGCACCAAGGGCCCCCCATAATCCCTCAATATTCCAGAAACAGATGAAGTATTTGCCCAAGGCTCGGCAGCAGGTGTTGCATCTATTTTAGCCTGAGGTGTGCGACACGTTGCAGGCTTCTCCTTGCCCTGTGTAAACCTCCAAGGACATCGATGTAGTTGGTGTCTGCAGTAGTTTTTATTGTCCTCCAGGCTGTGCTGAAGGAAAAACACCCATGGGGGGCTTGAGCTGGGTCTCTTCATCTCAACCTCTTGAAGCAGAGATCTGAGCTTGTGGCCGGGAGGGTTGAGGCCATTTCTGGGCTCAGACTCTGGCTGCAGCTCTCTGAAGCTGGACCAGGCCCAACTCTGTGCTTACGCTGAGGTTGAGACTTTTGCACCAGCCTTCACCCAGCACACCCTGCGGCCCTGGGCTTCACAGGGTTAAAGAGCCACCGCGTTCACATTGTGAGGAGACTGATAATTTAACACCCACTGGAGTATGCACCGCCGTGCTGATTTAGTTGTAAAATAACTCGTTGGATGCCCCAGTTTCAACCATATGCTAATAACATCTGTTACAGTAACTTCAAGATGCTGCTTACACACGGCTCTTCTCCACTGGCTGCAGGAGTAATGCGCTTCCCGGCATTGTCTCATGGATAATAGAAGCCCAGAGGGCAAACTTTTCCTTCTCTTAATACATCTAGCTCGGTGTATTATTTATTTGGTTACTGTCCTCGAAACGCTCAGAGGCTGGTGGGTCTCTGAGTGGGCTGAGCTGCTGGTCCTCAGTTTCTCTAGGGGAAGAGGGCTCTGGGGCCGGATCCTGCTTTCTCTGTTGCTGGTTGTTCCTCAGCTCTCTGCTTCGAGGAGGAAAGGTGGGGAGCTCGGTCTCTTTGCCCCAGTTGGGGACAGCCCTTGCCTATAAGTATCGTTAATTAGCGATAAGATAAATGGACGGGCTGCTCTGTGACTGGTTGGGGGCCATTCCTCACCCTGCCTCGGTTTCTTTGCATTTCAGAAGAAGGCATTGATCCTTCTCACTGAAACCTGAGTGAGCCCTCAGCCTTGCACAAGCCTGCAATTAATTCCTCACTAAAGCCATCGGCCGTGCTGTGGGACCCTCCTGCGCTGTCCCGTGGGCTCAGCCTGGAGGGGAGATGCTTCTGGTTGCAGAGATGTCACGGGTGGTTTTTAGAAGTGTTGTTGGGGGAAATGACATGAAGGATGTTCCGTATTGTGAAACTGCTCCCCAGCAGCGTGTGGATGCTGCTCCGGGCTGGATAGTGCAAGATCTGTGCCTGCTGCATAACGGGGCAGCAGTGGAGAGCGTTGGGTTTTATGCAAACCCAGGATTCAGGACGCTCTGTGGGACCTTGCCCTCGTTGGCAATTGCACGGCGAAGGCATGAACCAGGTAAATGCTGCATTAACTCCCCCATTAAACAGCAGCGAGCTCCATTTGTGTCAGCGCTAGGAATAAGGCGCCGGAATCTAGTGGCGAAGAACATTAACTGTTAAACTGGGCAACGCGATTTTTCAAGTCGGGGCTTTGTGTGACTATTTGGGCACGTAGCTCTCGCTTTTCTGCACGCGAGTTAATTACTCCAATCAATGGGAAATAAGCTTGTTAACCCCCTTAAGGTTTTGCCCACTGGTTTCTAAGAGATCCGCTGTGGTCCTAAAAGTCTGTAATGGGCATTTTCAGCTTTATGGTGTAGGAATTGCTGCAGAGAGCTTCACAGCTTGTGATCCCCAAAGGGAGAAGAGCTGCAGCACCAGCATCTCCCGGGGATGTTTCCGTGTGCCCTCCTGGGCACAAGGAGGTGGTGGGGATGAGGTTTAAGGCTTCGCTGCCCTGACAGCCCCACTCTCCCTCCTCTCCTGCAGGCGACCAGCGGAGCAGCGTGGTCAATGAGTCCAGCAGCCTGCTGGGGGGTTCCCCCCGGCGCCAGTGTGGCCGCAAGGGCTCCCCGTATCACACTGGGCAGCTCCATCCCGCCGTGCGCGTGGCCGATCTCCTCCAGCATATCAACCAGATGAAGACGGCAGAAGGCTACGGCTTCAAGCAGGAGTACGAGGTGAGACCATCTTGATGAGAGCACCTCGTGCTGGCGTCTCGGGGAGGGTGGGAGGTAGGATGGACAAGGTGGCACAGGTGGGACCCGTTTGCACGGAGAAGATGCAGCAGAGCTGGAGCTGCAGTGCTTTGAGTGGCAGAAGCTGGAGCTCACAGACATCATCAGCATGTGGGGTGTGCCGGGATTAAATCTCAGGTCTTGGCAGCTCGGAGATTTAATTGTCAGCTTGAACAGATCCTTTTGATGAGCAAACCAGCTCTGCCAGCTCACACCTCTCCTGTCTGCAGTGCGTCATCCCGCAGGGACCGGCAGTGCTTCTCCCTTTCTCAGATCCTCCTGAGCACCACCACGTCCTTGTGCTCTCCGTCACGCTTGTCCTGTGATGAGCACGGACATAGCCCAGGGCCCCTGCAGGCTGGCACCTCCCAAGACCGTGGAGGCCCCGAGGATGCAGGAGAAGGTGATCCCAGGGGGATGGAAGCCTCCCCCCAGGGGTCGTTGGCCACATCGTGCCTGTCCCCACCTCGCTGGGCCTGGGAGCTTGTAACGGAGCGCGCTGTTCCCCACGCCTCCACCGCTGCGCACTCAACGGGGTTGATTTCTCAACTCCTCGGTGTCCCGCAGGTCTGGCGATTGAAATTTCCCAGTGAAATTACTGTTTAATGCTTAGTTGTTTCAAGTGCAGAAGGTTTTTTTGTCTTTTTTTCCCCCCCTTTCATGTACTGGACAAACCAGGGCTTGCTATAGTCATTAGTGCTTCTTGAAAAGCTCCTATATGTTCTTGGAACTAGTGATTTGAAAGCACTCAGATATTACAGGAGGGAAGAAAACATGTAATTTCCTTCTACTTTTCTCCTCTTACGCCAATCTATGAATGTTACTGTTATTACACACAAACCTGTTCTGTGCTGGGGAGAGAAAGAGTCTGGGGAGGCTTATCAAAAACCCACAGCCAACCCTGGGAAAAAAAACCCCAGGCAGTGTATAATTTGCAGGAAAATGGGGCATTTTGTGGATGCAGCAGAAGCGTGTAGCTGGCAGAGCGTGCTACGGAGATGGGGCTGCAGGAGCTGGGTGTTGGGGTGGAGGGACCACCCTGTCTGCCCTGCTCCCTGGGGGTGATTTTGGGTTGGGGGGGACCCTACAGTCCTGCCCTTGGGCTGTGACGGCTGTCCTTTCCTTGCAGAGTTTCTTTGAAGGCTGGGATGCTTCGAAGAAGAAAGACAAGACTAAAGGGAGACAGGATCACGTGTCGACATGTGAGTGCAAAGGCTCAAGACACCCCAGACAGCCTGAAAAACCTTCTAAAAGGCTTTTGGGGCTTTTTTTGGTAGATGTGTGGTCCATGGCAAGGAATAAACTGGTGGGGTTTGATGGCGAAGGGCAACAGAAAGATCCTTGCTCAGGGCAGAGGCCCCAGCCTGAGAGCTCCTGTTGGGCATCAGACACTGAAGCAAATAGGAGGGCAACTCTTGAGGATGGGACATCTTGAGGTGATAACATCACCGTGATCAATTCTGGGTGGTGCTGGAAGGCTCCAGATAACCTGGAGTGTGTTTTCTTGTGTGGACTTACAAGGAACTGCAGCCCTGCCCTAGGGAGCTTCTGGTGTGGACGTGCAGGGTGAGACAGAGGGCTAAATGATGAGGTTTTAGGACAGAAGACTGAGGGAGGGCTTGACCCCACCGGAGAGAGGTTGCTCCTCTCCAGCTCCCTCCAGTCAGTGTGACACGGTCGCCTTGCTCCCTGCTGCATCTCCGGTGTCATTCCTGCAGGGACAGGGACACCAAGCCTGGTGCTTTCCACTCTCACATGCTTCGCTCCGCAGCTTCGTCCCTTCCACTCTGGCACCTTCCAGCGACCTGGTGGGCGCTGAAGTTTGGGCAGAGCACTTGCTGTCTGGGCTCTGGCCATTCTGGTGCTGTGCCAGGGTGGACAACAAGGTGCTCTGTGTCTTTGGAGCCGAGCTCAGGGAGATAACTGTGCTGAAAGCATGTCCCTGCTGGTCTAAACCACCATCTTTGGAAGGACCTCCGCCAGCTTGTAATTATTTCTCCGGAATCCATCCCCACCCGTGGGTGTTTTGCAGATTCCTAGTGCAAAACGATTGCAAAGGGTGCCCTGGAACCTGGTGGGTAACGCAGCGCCCCCGTGCTCATCCTCCCTGGGTGCTCATAGTCCCTTCTCCCCTTGCTCTCCAGATGATCGTCACCGAGTGAAGCTGCACCCGCTGCTGGGCGATCCCAACTCAGACTACATCAACGCCAACTACATCGATGTAAGTGGAGGGTGGTGCCTGTCTCTGGGGGGGTCTGTGATGGGGCAGGGGCTTCCTGTGGACCTTGTGGGCTATCACGGTCTGTCCAGCAGCATTTGGAAGAGCTTAGATGGCCCAGGATGGGCTGATCTCTGTATCCCTGAGACACAGCATGAGGAGCCTGCCTGATTTATTGATGTTCATCAGCAGTTTCTGCTTGTTGCTTCTCTTTCTCTGCTCTGCTCTATCCTTCCTTTCTACTCCCCTTTTCCATCCTCTCTTCTCCCCTCGCCTGTCCTCATGGCCATGGATCTCCCTCCTCCCAGAGGTTGAGGGGGTCAAGGGACCAGGTTGGGGCTCACACTGGGATCCCCTCCCCATCCTGTGGGTGCATGTGAGGCTGGGCAGAACTTGGCCCTGGTGTCCTCTGAGAACGATGTCCCCCCAGAGCGATGTCTCCTGTCACCTCCAGTGATGCCGAGACGAGGGGAGGTGCAGGAACACTCTGTTGGGCACAGGGCTTGAGCATCTTCTGGAAGCAGCAGCAAGTCCAACTCTTCCCAGAGGGTGTCCTCTAGCCATGGTGGCCTGGAGCCACCGTGACGGGTTCCCTGCGCCCGAGCAGCAACCCCACGCCTGTCCCCTGTCCCCATGTGTCTTTTCTCCCCTGTGGCTCTCTGTGACCCTCTCCGGGGCTCTAACCTGTCTCTTGAGCTGTGCCTCACTAATGTCACTGTCTCTGATCTTTTTCTCTCAAACCTCTATCCCAACGGGATCAATTAAGATTCGGATTAACCGAGAAGTAAGTAGATGGTTCCCCTCTGCTCCCATCTCCTCCCAGGCGTTGTACCGGGCAGCGTGGTGTCAAATAGAGTCAAGAAGAGGCAGAAATAGTGTCAAGGAGAGGCAGGCTAGGAAAACGTGGATAAACTTGAGTACTGTCCAGGGAAGGGGAGGTGAGGGCTCCATGGTACGTCCTCCCAGGGTGATGGAGAGCAGGGGTCCTGTGCTCAGAGGAGGGCTTTAATTCAACCCCCAAAACTCCCCTGTGAATGGACTTATGATGGATGGAGAAGCTGCCGTCACCTCCACATGTGTGATGTGGTTTAACTCTGCTGGAGCCATAGCCAAAGGCTGGGACACCAGGTCCCTGTTCCCTTTGGCAGTGACCTCGTTGGGACATGCTCTTCAGGCTTTTACTTTCCTATTAAGAGCTGGAATGTTCCCAATAAGCAGCTAGGATGAAGGAGGGGAGCAGGGCTGTCACCCAAAATCACGTGGACTCTCTCAGGACAGGGTGCACCGGGTGCAGGGTGGCTGCTGATCCTCCTCCTCCTCCTCCCGCAGCCGTGGGTAGCCCCACACTGCTGGCCAGGACCTGGGGAGTTGCTGCCATCTGGGTGACCGGGAAATGTTTTACGAGGTTGTGCCCCAGCCATCAAGTGTCCCAGTGCCCCCCCAGCTTGAGACTGACATCTCTGCTTTCCTTGCAGGGCTACCACAGGTCCAACCACTTCATAGCCACGCAAGGTGAGTCGCTCCCTCCCTCCTCCCAGCGTTTCAGCAGCTCCCGATTTAGCAGCCAGGTTTGATCCTTGGTGGGATTTAACCTGCGTGGTCAAGAAAAGGGAGGGAGTGGGGCCGATTTGGGGCCAAACAGGGCAGTAGCAATGCAGAGCAGCTCCCACCCCTCCTGCTACCCCATGGCACCGCGCATCCCTGGGGCAAAAAGATGCTGAAACTGCCGGAGAGGCAGGAGGGGAAACACGGTGGCATCGTGGCAGTGCCTGTCCATCCCCGGTGGCCTTTCCTCTGCCCTGCAGGGCCCAAGCAGGAGATGGTGTACGACTTCTGGCGCATGGTGTGGCAGGAGCACTGTTCCAGCATCGTGATGATAACCAAGCTGGTCGAGGTGGGCCGGGTAAGGACCCCATCCCGCCCCTCTCCCTCCGGGCACCGGCTCTACCAGAAGCTTCCTTCGCAGAGCCACGACCCTGTCCCATCCTCTCCTCGCAGGTGAAATGCTCCAAATACTGGCCGGATGACTCTGAGATGTACGGAGACATCAAGATCACCTTGGTGAAGTCGGAGACACTCGCCGAGTATGCCGTCCGCACCTTCGCTCTCGAGAGGGTACGGCACCGGTCCCACCACCGCGACCTGTCCAACCCTGCCCTCGCGGGCAAAGAACCCACTGCCCTGGGCATCTCTAACCATTGCTAGATCAATGTTTACCAATACTCTCTTTATTTACCCCAACATGGGGCCTTTAACCCTGGTCAAGGTGCATCTTCTGAACCCTGGGGATGCTGGTAGCGTCTTCCTTTTCCCCAGCTCTGTGCCCTCTATCAGAGAGGGTGGCTCAGCCCTGCTTTGGTTTCGGCAGTGAGTGAGTATTTAATTTCTGTGTGAGCACCGTGTAATTGCGACAGGGATGAAGGATGCTTTTCCTCCTCCAGGCTGGAGTGCAGGTTATGTGGCCATTACTCTCCAGCGTGGTACCTGGGGATGGAGCTGGTGCGATTTTACCTCTTAATCTACAGGAATGGGAAATTACTGTCTAGTTTCAGGGCAGGTAGCAAAGACTGTGGAATGAGACCTGGGGCTGCTGCCATCTCCCCCTCCTCTTCCTCCTCGGCTGGTTTTTAGCCCTCTTGCAGCCAAGGAGGAGGGAGCTGTGGTGCTGCTGAAGCATCCGACCCCTCCGTGGTGCATTTGGCTGGATGCCGAGATGGCAAAATCACAGATTCCCAAGAAAATGAGGTGTTTGGGTTACTTTCCCTTCCTTGTGCCACCCTCACCCTTATCTCACTCTTCCCTTGCAGCGGGGCTACTCGGCCAGGCACGAGGTGAAGCAGTTCCACTTCATGTCGTGGCCCGAGCACGGCGTCCCCTACCACGCCACGGGGCTGCTGGCCTTTATCCGCAGGGTGAAGGCGTCCACGCCGCCCGACGCTGGCCCCATCGTCATCCACTGCAGGTACACGTGCGTGGCCGTGGGGTTGGAGCGGTCTTGGGGGCAGCATCGTGCTCTGGGATGGGGTTTGGGGAGGGGGGTGATGGGTGGCCCTGGGGGGCTGTGTCTTAGGTGGGTGCTCAGCCTCAGAATGATGCGAAAAGGTCTGAATGATGGTAAAAAAATTCAGCAGGGGAATAGGAAATGTATAAATCGGGTTCATAGCAAAGGGAGGCACTGGGGTGGATGCCCCTCTACGATGGTGTCCAGCTGTGAAATGTCACCGCTGGGCTGGTGGCAGCAGAGAGGGGGGAGCTGCAGGTGGTCCAGGGGGACAAGCAGGGAACAGCATGTTTTGGGGGCTGCCCCAGCACCCATTACTCAGCTCTGTCCCTTTGGGCAAGGATGGCACACGGGGCACACGGGCAGATTGATTGCTGCTGATGGCAACGTCAGGGTGTTGGGTCTGGCCGAAGGGAGAGGGTTGAGGGGCGGCAGGACAGCTCCCGTTTGCAGGGTCCCCGCAGGGCTCAGCCACCGGGACACCAGAGCTGGGAGGAGACTGGTGCCACTTGTGAGCAGGAGGGGTTGCTTTCTGTCCCCTGAACAGGCATCCCCACGCAATGGGTTAATGGCTCATCCTCCACTGGACAAACAAGGAGGAGCTGATGAGTGAGAGGGATTTTTTTTTTCATTTTATTTCTCCCTGTCAGTTGCTTCATCAGTATTCATTCACCGGCAACAGCGAGTGTGATTAGTGCCCGTAGCCTGTAATCACTGATAATCACGACGAGTGATTCATCAGCCCCAGAAATTAGTGTTTCACTGGAAAAGACTTTGTAGGAAACTAGCGGGGGGAGCACTTCTCCTCCCGACACCTCGTGGGGGATTTGCAGCATCCGTTGGGCTTTGGCTGTGAGTCCAACTGTGCCAGGATTTGGGATATCTCTGGAGCTGGGTCGTCAGGCTCCAGGCATCCTGCTGTGACCCAGGGGTCTGCCTCGGGGAAATTCAGCACTCAGGGGTACCCCCCTGTGCCCTCAGGGCTCGGTGCTGAGCATCCTCCTCCTCCGCCCTTTTGGGATGGGATCCCGGAGGACTGTCAGCTCTCAGATAGTCTGGCTGCTGCTTTTGGTGCAAAAGGTGTGTGTTTTGCTGTTTTAAAGAAAAATGAAGCTTAGACATGGGAGCCTGACTGTCACACAACCCCAGGCTCCGTGTGTTTGGGAGGGTGGTGGACAGGGTGGTTTAAGGCAAAACCAGGCTGTGGTTATGGAGGTGTGTGAGATCCTGACAGCCCTGCCAGGACCTTGCACCCCTGGGCAGGGTCCGTATGTCGAGTCCTGATACATGCAGACCTGGCTTTGTGCCTCCGGTGTCTGGGGCTGCGTGCTGATGCCGTGTGGACTCAGAACGCGTTTGCTGTGTTTTCCTTCTCCCAGCGCTGGCACAGGGAGAACGGGCTGCTACATCGTCCTGGATGTTATGTTGGACATGGCCGAGTGCGAGGGCGTCGTGGACATCTACAACTGCGTGAAGACCCTGTGCTCGCGGAGGATCAACATGATACAGACGGAGGTGAGCGAGCATTGAGAGCAGCCGGGGACGTGTGGGGCTGCTGTCACCAGCACACTGGGGAGGCTGAGCCCTCTCCCCTGTTGTCCCCCCCAAAAGGAGCAGTACGTCTTCATTCATGACGCCATCCTGGAAGCCTGCCTGTGCGGGGAGACCAGCATCCCCGCCAGCGAGTTCAAGCCCACCTACAAGGAGATGGTGAGGATAGAGCCGCAGAGCAACTCCTCGCAGCTGCGGGAGGAGTTTCAGGTGAGTGGCCCCAAAACTTCTGCATCCCCTCAAGCTTGCTCCTCACCCTCCTGGTGCCCACGACCGCCGGGACCTGTGGGCTCCGGCAGGGCTGTCTGGGAGGGGAGCTAAGGGGAGGATGTCTGTGTACCCACAGACCCTGAACTCGGTGACTCCTCACTTGGACGTGGAGGAGTGCAGCATCGCCCTCCTGCCCCGCAACCGGGAGAGGAACCGCAGCATGGACGTCCTGCCGCCCGACCGATGCCTTCCCTTCCTCATCTCCGTGGACGGAGACAGCAACAACTACATCAACGCGGCCTTAACCGATGTGCGTGTGCTGCGGGGAGGGAAGGGGCCGCCTTGGGTTGCCTGGGGTTGGCTTTTCGTGGCAAAACATGGCTTGGGTTGAATTTACAGCCTCGTTTTGTACAAGGGCACACAGCAGCTGGACCAGCATAGTGGGTTCCTTCACCCCTTCTTTTGTGTAGCAGCATCTTGCTTGGCTTGAAGAAGCTTTTCTCCTGCTCTCACAAAGGGTGTTTGTTTATTTTGTAGCAAAATATTCATGGTCTAGTGAAAGGTGTCCCTGCCCATGGCAGCGGGGTTGGAACTCAGTGATCTTTGAGGTCCCTTCAACCCAAAGCATTCAGTGATTCCATGAAAACGGAGCACCCGAGAGAGAAGCAGCTCTGGGAGGGGTTGGTAGCACTGAGCCCCCATCCCCGTGTGCTGCCAGCACCCTGCTATGCATCCTCCTGCTTGTTCTGGTGTAATTCAGGGGGCTCTGAACCGATCCCAGAGCCTCTGTGCATCCCCCAGTGCAGTCAGAAACAACACCCGTGATGGCAAAGCTGTTCCCTACCTGCTGATGACTGCAAAGCAGAGAGGAGAGGACGTGCCGGGCTCTGAGCTCGTGCTGAGCGATGGGTCGTTGATCACCCAAACCACTTTCCTCTCCTTGAAACGAACCCGAGGTGCTTTGCACGGGCAGCGCTGAGCCCCACTGCACCCCGGGCACCTTCCCCAAACCCTCTTGCTCACAGCTGAGCGCCAGCACCAGGCTGAGCCCTGCGTTTTTCACCCCACGGGTGATTTATCGTGCTGCATCTTTGAGCGGATCTCATCTCCCATACCTGCTCTTGCAGCAAAAAGCAGTTTGTAAAGCGGAGGCAGCGGCTGGGGAGCAGCGCCTGTTTGGCTGCAGGCTTCAGCTGCTGTGGGACGGGAGCTTTGTTCTCAGCGTGCTTCGTGTTTGCATATCTGTTTTATTTTTATACATCATTGAGCTTCCCTTAATCTCCACTACAGGGTCAGAGAAAAACATTTTTTTTTAGAGACAGAAAAAGCCCTTTGGATGAAATTCTTGCTAAAGGGATAAAACCCATTTCCCTCTTTGAGGGGGGAGGAAACAAAAAAGTCTCATTTTCTTTAAGTGCCGAAGTGGTTTGCTCAGTCGGTCTGTCCATCTGTCAGATCAGATTGGTCTGTGTTGCCCATCATGGGTGCTGAGCGTAGTGCCGGTGGCAGGCTACTGGGGCCGCTCTCTGCTCCGCGCCCGCTGCCGTCATTTACGCCGGTGCCAAAGGACTGCGGGTGCCAAGGCAGAGCCTGGTCCACACCTGACGAAATCTCCCTCACCCTGCTGCTCTCATCGCCCTCCTCGAGGCTCCCACCCAGAGCCGGGGCTCTTGCTGCTGCCCTGTGAACAGGGCAAGGGGGAAAGTTCAGTAAAGGCATTCCCTGCGCTAAATGAGGAGATTTGGCAGCAGCCAGAGGACTGCCCATTAGCGGGGAGCTCATTTGTGGCCACACATTTTCTGCTCAGTTCCTGGGTCTGAAGAGGCTTGAGCTGAAGTGTGTTAATTTAAAAGTCTGACTGATGCTGGGTTGGGCTCGGCTCTCCATCCCTTGGCAAGCCGGTGTCAGGATTACCGAGAGGACAAATCTCACTTGAAGCATGAACAAGAAGTACAATAATTTTAATTTCCTACTCCCCCTTCCTTCTTGTGTTCTCTGTGGGTCTTTCACTTTGGGGTTTCCTTCCCTCTTCAAAAACCCCAGTGAGCCCAGGTCGGTGGTGTGGTCGCTTTGCCTGGCGGCGCTGGGGCACTGTGGGTGGGGGTGATGCTGTGGATGGGGGTGATGCTGTGAGTGATGCAGGATGCGGTGCTGGGGCCTGGGTCCATCTGGCAGCCTTCTGCTGCTTCTTGGCTCAAAGGTGACATTTTTTCCTCAGTTATTCATTCAAAGCACCCAGCCCTGTGAGAGCAGAAAGTGCTTTCAGCCTGGAGCAGGGCAGGGATCACTTAGACCTGTTCCTGCAGCATCTCCCCAGCCCCAGGGCTTGGAGGCACTGAGACAGTGCTTGAGCACGGAGAAGATGGCTTTGGTGGCACTCATCTTCTGGTTGCACTGGATTTTCGGGGAGCAGGCAGCAGTGACTCCACCGCCACATCCTTCATGGTGCTTGTCTTCCCTCTCCGCAGAGCTACACCAAGAGCGCTGCCTTCATCGTCACCCTGCACCCGCTGCAGAACACCACCACCGACTTCTGGCGGTTGGTGTACGACTACGGCTGCACCTCCATCGTCATGCTCAACCAGCTCAATCAGTCCAACTCCGCCTGGGTGAGTTTTGCCGACCCGGGACCTCTTCTGCTCCGTCTCCGCCTCGGCGGTGCCGCAGCGTTGGCGTTTTGCTGGCGTCGGTATTGCTTTACTGTACCACAATCCTTGTGGATGCCCCAGGGAGATACAAGGTTAACGACAGGTCTGACCTTTTCGTTTTGGCGAACTGATTTTTATGCTCCTTTTGCAACGGGGAAACTGAGGCACGGGGCATTTCCCGCATTAATCTTCCAAGGGCGCTGGTGGCTTGTGAACGCTGCTTTAGAGATCCGCCTGCTGCAAGGTGGCTGTCCCGTGGGTGTTAGGGTGTGATGGGATGTGCAAATCTGTCAAACTGGAGTGGGGGATGTCCCTTGTCAGCTGTGGGAGAGGGAACAAAAGCCGGGGGGGGACTTTTGCTCTCCTGGTGCGCCAGTCCCCAGGGGGATGGCTGGAGGACTCCTGTCACCACTGAAATAGATGTAAAAGTCTGCTTACAGGTCTGTGATGTTAATTCAATGAGGAAACTTGCTGGATTTTTACATAAAATTAGCATTATAGACTCTTAATGGATGTCTGGAGAAGACTTCATTAGCTGCCTTATTTTACAAGTTGAGATCAGATACTGGATGTAAATGACCCGAAACGGCAGTTGTACCATTTGTCACAAGGATGCAGACGGATGCGGCGCTGACTGGTGTGTAAACACACCGGCATTTCTTTTATATATAAATACCGAGGACACGCGTGGAGCTGTGGAGCCCACCTGCGCGTGCTGAGCTAATGTCCCGTGCTCCAAAGGACTTTTGTGCGGGGGGACGCTGAGCAGCAAGGGGTGTTCCGGGAGGATCGCTTTCCTTACAAAGGTTTGCCAGGAGAGGAGGCAGAGCTGGTCCCAAAGAGCTTTTCGGCTCCTGTGTTCACTCGGAGTCGCTCTTAGATCAGGTTTGTGTTTAACAGCCTGATCTGCCCGTTGCCAAGAACAACAAACAACTTATTATTCTTACTTATCCCTATACTGGGGTATTTCTACCTCTGCCTTAGCCCTGTACCTGTGTATTTCTGCCTCAGATCTCTGCCATTCCTACTTTTTCTTCCCCTGCACTTTGTGTGAGCATCCTGAGGGGGTTGGGGCAGTATCTCTTAAAGAAGGGGTTGTAGAAGAGGAGCAGCTACCAAATGCAAAGAAGAGGAGTTAGTTGCTGTCACTGCAAGAAGGAGAAAGGCGGATACCCGACAATGAAGCATCTGCCTCAGCAAAGACAAACATGGGCATTAAAAAGGAGTCTCTGGGGCATTTTAAACCTCAAGTTTCTGCTGAATAAAATCTTAGGCTAGGGTTTTGTTAAGTAATAACAACCCTTGTGCTTTCTGCATTTGGAAGCAGAGAAGTGTTGAGATTTTAAAAAGCCTAAAAAAGCCAATGAAAACACGCAAGTACCCCCAGTGTTCAGGCACCTCAGCATGAAGTAGACAAGTAGGGAATAATGCTGATGTGTGTCTTCTCAGTATTCAGCAGAGGATACAAGATTTCAATGTTTGGTAAAGCCAGATACAGAGCAAACACAAAGGAGGGAACGAGCTTTCCATTTTATGAATTCAAAGTAAGCAGAAATAACCAAAATCTGTTTTATCAGCATTTCTGCTCCTCTGAAATTCTGCATCGAGAACTCCTGAAAGTGACCCAGGAGACACAGTCGGGCCATTTGCTTCCATCCCCATCTCCTACCTTGTAAAAGCTTATTTTATCTGAGCGGGAACCTCTCCCCATGAATGTCCTGAGAGTTCTTCTGTGCCCTGCTGCTGCTCGCAGCTCCTGGCTGGAGGCGGGGGTGAGAGAAACCCTTTCTGTTCTGTAAAAACCACGGATTCTGTTCTGTAAAATCCACGGAGATCGAGTTGGAGAACGAAGCCTCTCATGGATTCGGCGTCAAAGATCTTCAGGGGTCTCGTCCTCCCCGGCGCTTCCTTCCTGAAGAGTTTTTCTGGGATCGTGGCGCAGTTTCCATCGTCGCCCCACCAGGTTGGCTGGAAGCTATGGCTGCCCACGATCTTCAGAGCTTCACCAGGACGCGTCGGGCTGAAGACTGGTTGGTGTTGGCTGAGACCTCCGAGAAACAAGATCAAATGATGGAGCCTCACAATTCCTTTACTAAAGACCGTCGTGCAAAAGTGACTGTATGACATCAGGAAGGACGACAAGGAATGAGGCTTTAGATGTGGGCTGTGGCCCCTAAGACAGTGATCAGCTGTTGGCGGGATGCTCAGGAGATGCTCTGAGCAGCGCCATGAAGGGTTGTTTTTAACTGAACATGAAAACAGTTAAAAAAAGATTAACAGAAAATTAAATTTAACAGACAGACCTGCCTGGCTTCGCTCTGTGTGTGGAGAAGCGGTGGAGCCGGGAGGCTGGAAGGGCTTTGCCTGCGAGCGTGGCCGCGGGGCAGAGCAGCTGCGTTGTCCGGGCAGGTTCAGCTAGGGGAGGGCGACTGACGCTCCCGTGTGCATTTCTCACCTCGATTCACATTTACCCTTCCTGTCTGCTGAGGTACCTGCTGGCAACCCATTGAAACCCCAGCCAGTGGCACCACCTTACTGTCCCTCCGCCGTGGCCGTCCGGCACCTCTGCTCTGCAGCACAGATGTGGGGTGAGCCCAGCTGCAGTGGAGCATGGCAGGGAAGGAGGCAGCAAAACCGATTTTACTTCTCTCTCTCAACCTGTTCTTTCATCCCCTGGTCCAGAAACACCCTTTACTCTCATTCCCTCATGCCTGTGCCATCCTCCCCCAGGTCCCCTGCCACTGTCCGATGGGGACTCTGCCATTTTTCTTCATTATTCAGCCCCGTCTCTCTCTCTGGACGTCTATTCTTCAGGGATGTCTGTGTTACAATATTTAACTGGATTTTAAGTGTTTACCAGTTTAGGACCACCAGGTAATAAATCAACCTTTTCAGCAGGCAGCTCTGAAAGGTGACTTGGAGGGTATATCCCTCGCTTGAACTACGTCTTGCCGAAGGAAGTTTTAATATCCAAATTATAGCTCTCAGTCTAGAAGGCTTAAAGATCTTGGAGATTTATAGCCCCTATTAATAACCAATTATTTCTCAAACACGTTTGCCATGCAGTTAGGCCCAAGCCGTTCGAGAGCCTGAAATGCTAAATGCCCTCTTAAAGTGCGGTGACAAACATCATACATTTTGTGTCGACGCCGCTTTCCCAGCTGTCTCAGTGTGAAAACGTTCGCGCCCGTGACCCTTGGACCGAGCCATCCGTCAGAGCCGTGCTGGACGCCTCTCCAGAGCTACGGGCCAGGATTGCTTTGACTTGTCGGGATGTCCTGGCGATGGGGACCGTCATCCACCTTGACGTTGCTACCGATGGGTGGCAGAGCAGCTTCTAAAGCTGATGGGGTTTGAGAGGAGGCTTGAAGCAGCCAAGCCCTGCTCCATCGTCGCGTAGGACCAGACCCGACCTCTCCAGGGCTGAGGCAGGGTGCCTCCTGCATCCTTCTGGGCTAGCAAAGCCATCTCCAGGGGCACCGACTGTGACCTTTGTGCAGTAGGGAGAGGGCTATGTGGCAGTGGACCCAACCCTTCAGCCTTGATCCCTCGACAGTGTTGTGGTTTGAGCTGAACAGAACCAATTCTGTTCAATGATTTTACTTTTTTCAGCTCCCTCTCTTCTAAGAAGTTAACGGCGTGTTTTTGCAGACAGTGTGTGCTGCTAGAGCTGATAACGTCCGATGTCACTGCCAGGGACACTGCAGAAAGGCTCTTGCAAGTGCTTGGTCCTACAGTGAGCAAGGTCACTGCTGGACCTTGTGTGCCATGCTGTGGGTTCTGGGAGGTAAAAGGGGTCGCAAGGAAGTAGAAGGTTGCACCTCTGGTGAGGAACAGACAGGACGCGTGACCAGCAAGAGTTTTCCAGTCCATCTGTGTCATATCCAGTATAAAGCTGCGGGACCACAGAGCTTAAGGCCTCTTCTTCAGTGGCTGGCATCTGAGGAGGAGGACTCTGTCCATTCTTCTGCTTTTGATCACGATCCTGAGTTCCCAAAATCTGGCCGCTGTGCCCGGTTCCCCTCTGCTGCTGAGCCTGGGGCTGCCCCGGTGGGGCCGGCTCCGCCGCGCCCCCCTGCTGCTGGGGGGGGGATTGGTTTCGATACCTCTTTTGTATGTATTTAATTACTTTCATTATTCCCTTATCAGTACTACTACTGTTTTTTAAAAGCTGTTTTATTTCCCAATCCGAAAATCTCTGCATTACACCCTTCCCCTTTGGGGAGGGAGAGCGATTAGAGAGCATCTGTCAGTGCCCCAACCCTCGACAGTCAGACAGAAGGATCTGTCACCCAACGATGTGACTTGGGGTGTAATGGCATCATCCCATGTCCTGGGACGTGTCACCAGCCCTGGTGAGCTGTACTTTTCCTCTCCACAGCCCTGTTTGCAGTACTGGCCCGAGCCAGGTCTCCAGCAGTACGGCCCGATGGAGGTGGAGTACGTTTCCGGAGCGGCGGATGAGGACATCGTGTCCCGTCTCTTCCGAGTCCAGAACGTCACACGGGTGAGGGTCCACATCAGTGAAGGGTGATCGGGGGAGCTTCACGTGTGTCTGTGTGTGTGCCCGGGGCCCCCCAGTCACCTCCCAGTGCCTGGTCAGGGTTGGGCGAGCAGGGCTTGGATGGCTTTTGGTAGCTTCTGCGTTGGGGAAGGGCTGGCATATCACCAAGAGCTTCCTTATATAAAATAATAGAACCATTTAGGTTGGAAAAGACCTTTAAGATCATTGAGTCCAGCAGTGCCAGGTCCACCACTGAACCACGTCCCTGAGCATCACATCTACACGTACTGCCTGTATGGGTGAAGATGTTCTTGGGAGAGCAGAAGGATGATGTATCTAGTGAGGCCACACAATCCGTCATTGCCCGGTCGGGTAATTCTCTGTACAAACTAACTGAATGGTGCTGTAGGTGTTGGTGTCTTCTTCAGCCTAATCCAGCAGCTCCTCCCGAGGATGCAGCCCCAGCTCTCCTCCTGGCAGAGAAGAGCCTGTAAAATTGCTGTTGGCTCCATCCAGCCTTTCTGGAGTTCACAGCTCTTTGCAAGATGTTAGATAACTCTGTCAGAAGACCTTTCTCAAGGTCCATCTCTACCCTGCCATGCATGTGTCATGGGATGGAGACTCCTCGCAAGGGCACAGCAGCTTCCCTGGGACCCACAGAGCCTTTTTGCTGCAGCGTGAGAAGATCCACAGAAGTTTTCACCTCTTGTCTTTGTTGCATTGAGGCTTGGCTGGTTCAGTTTGTCTGTAAATGAAGAGAAACACCGTGAAGTTGGGAAAGGACAGCAACTGCAATAAACACCCTGTGTAGGTGCAAAAGTGGATACGGGGGAAAAAAATAAAGCTGATTTAGCTATAAAAGCCAGCCATGAAGAAGTGGCATCCCCAAGGTGTTTAAATCTCCCAAGGTTGCCCAGAGGCTGAGGCCAATGTGCCAGGGGAGGTCATCAGGCAGATGGGAATTGGGGAGCTTGGACGGGAGCATGCAGCCTGGCTGGTGGCCTGGCTGGGAAGGGTGCTTCGGTGTGGGAGCTGGGATCAGGGGAGATAAATCCTGGTTATCTGGACTCTTGATACTTAGAAGTTTTTGGTTTGCTCTTCCTTGTGGGAGCATCTGGCGTTTCCTGAGTGTCAGCACAAAATCCTTCACCGAATGTGCTTGGCTCTCAGGTGATGGAATATAGCCCATGCTAAATCAAAATGCAGCGTGATCGAAATCTCTGGATCTAAGAAAAGATTTCCCCTGGGAGCAGCTCACTGGAGGAGCGCTGGTAAATGCGTGGAGCCACTTCTTGCCAAGCCTTGCCTGCTGGAGGGAAACCAGGCTTTGGGGAGCATCACAAGTCCTCTCCCGAGCCAGACAGAGCTTACACCTGAGCTTCAGACTGGATTCCAAAGATTTTCTCCCCGGGCTCTCA